CATAGTAAGTTCCAAAGTAAACATACCATTCATACGCCGCCATTTTGTTTAATCACATGACACTCAAGTGTAGAAATTCCGTTTGTTATTTTGGATAATGGGCTGAAGACGAGTTGCGGGATTGTAAGGCCATAGACATAATTGTATCTAAAATGATTTTTTTTTTTAAATCAAAAGCCTAATTGTCCTAAAGAAATAAATTTCAAGCTTAAGAGAAATGTGCAAGCTAGGCTATAGGGGAGAGGGGGACAGAGACCATAGTTGGCTTTTGTAATTAACTTTAAACTGATAGTTTACACCATGCCCTGTTTTTGTTGTTTTTTTCAATATTTAGTCATTTTGCCCGAAAAGATGACATGTAATCAAGGAGGTTACAGTTTGTTTTCAGCTCCTTGTGTGTAATTTTAATCTTAGTCAACATAAAGTAGAAAAGAATGTGTTAGATTTCTCTCTTAACACCCTCCAAAATCAAAATTAACAAGATTATCATGTTAGATAATATATTGTTCTTCTTAGCGGTTTTTTATTTTGTTTGTACGTCTGTTTGTTTTTTGTTACAACTGGTTGTAAGCACACTCATTTCAACCTTTTTTGGTATTGTTTTTTTATGCCCCTTTCCCTCTTGGAATCCCCATACACTTCGGGCGTGATTAAAAAGAAAAAAGAACAGTTCCGTAAAAACTGCTCTGGTGAAACTTTTACACACATAGACCCCTATCCCCTATTTGTACAAAATGATAGTAGAAAATCAAGAATGGTAATTGGTTTCTTTGCTTCATTTTTTCGATACTACAACAAAGATCGATCTTTGTAATGTAGACCAAAGATAGTACATAATAAGATGGTCCACTCAGCCAAAAAAATGTCCGCCGGAAGTCCGCTCTTTGCTTCAGATGGCGAGTGCGCTGCAGTCTGTTTTGAAGCTCCCTTTCGTTTCTCGACTGCTGTTCAAATCAATGTTCATCAGCAGTTCGGGTTCGTTCAGTGCGGAGTTTAATTATGGTTTGTTGTTTTTTTAATAACCCTCTTGCCTTTCATTCTAAAGTCAAATTAAAGGAAGAAAACAGACACCTTTTTTGTCAACCCAACCATTTAAAAAAAAGGGTTCTTCCGAAATTTGAATTCTTATTTATTCAAAACTTGTAAGTTTCACTTTGATTTTTTAACACAAGGAGGGTAACTCTGTTCGCAAAGGGTGCGCATTTGCGAAGAGGGCGCCACCGAATTTTGAGGACTCTTTCTTTTCTAATTGGCTCAAAGAGAGGAGTGGACCCTCTTGTTATGTAGATTCTTTGTGTAGACTCTTTGCGTGTAGTTGGCCTTACCTCCTTCGACCGCCGGGTACCAATGTACAATTTTTGGGACCGTGTGACTCGACTACTCGACTCGATTATAATACTCTAGTAAATAAATACTATAGTACACTACCAACATGGCTGCAGCCGCAGCGTTGGAAAACGAATTGAACGTACTTCCTTACGTTTATGAAGTGTTGAAAAGGTAAGGCCTCTTGAACTTATATTTTTAAATTATGATGTAGTCGTGTCACGATGTAGATCTAGAATCTAGATGTCTAGATATTAGTCTATAGATCTAGATCTAGATCTAGGAATATTATCGCCGAGCCCTAGCTCAACTGGGTTCACTTCTTGTGGTCTTCATCACGCGATTAATAAACGTAGATCTAGATTTAGATCTAGATTTAGATCTAGAACGAGGCAAACTATCTCACCATAGCAAAGCCAGAAATTAGGAAAACACTTTTGGACAAGAGCAATAAAAACACATATCCTGTAGCACTAAAACATTCTGCCCTTGAACTTGAAACAATTGATTCCTATCCACCAACATGGATCCACTCTGACTACTAGTCTAGACTAGAGTCTAGTCTGACTCATACACTAATGGACCTGCCTTTAAACCCTTAAGATTCTGGTCCCTGATAAATGTTTGCCCGATAGCGCAATCCCGCGCGGCGCTCCACAGCTGGTCCCTCCCTGATCAGTCGTCGTCCCGCGCGGGCAACGCATTTCGTTTACGCTTCCGTTTCGTTTACGGCGGGGTCTGCATGTGTGTGCGTCAATCTGCTTGTGCCTGAGTGTCCATGTGAAACTTACTGCATTGTTTTGCAACGCGAGGTGTTGGTAGAGATAACAGAGCATCGGTTGAGACGTTCATCCAATGAAATATGAGCATTTTGACCCAGTTAGACACTTGAGGGACTCGAAAGGATATTCAGGAAATAGGACTTTCATCTTTCAATGCAAACACCTTTCCTCACTTTTCAAACGATCTAATTCTTACACCAAACGTTGTTTCCTGATGTAAATAATCATATTTGGTGGTTTTTGAACCATTGTCCTGCCAGAGGGAGACATTTGAGAGCAACTGAATAAAAAAAATATTCGGAAATTATCCCATTTTTTCCCCCTTTCGAACGATAGCTGATAAGCAGCTGTTCGCAAGTTCATTCATAGAGGTGTGAAATCTGGAAAACTCTGGAAAAGTTATTCATTTTGGTGTAACTTCCAATCTCAGCGTCTCTGATATACCGACGAGGGGATAATGGGATTATTTGTGTGATCGTAACACTTCATTGATCGTATCAGTTTGCTATAAAAGATGAGGTGTTTCCCTGACCTGCCGCGGCACGCTCGCGTGACCAGTGCCTGACCCCGGCGCCCCCCGGCACAAGCCCGCAGGCGACGTAAGTGGGTCATCGATCGATAAGAGCCCTCTTCCGGTTAACCCCGCAGGACTAGAGTTAAGGCAACAATCAACACTGGTGGATATGGGTCAGTGATCAACTTGCCCAGTGGGGAAAAAAAAGAAGTCTTCAACTCCAGCGGGTACTTCTGCTCCAATTTCATTGCCGAACAACAGGCTATCACCAAAACAGCAAACTACATCAACTACTTGTTTGACACTAACCCACTTGCTACCACTAGGTACCACAAGCGAACATTTTTTTGAACAATATTGACGTTTAAACCTCAGGGTTTCAAATCTACTCTATGAAATAAAAACATTAAAAAAAGAATTATCAAAATCCATCAATAAACAATCGAGATATGGTATTTCAAAGTTTTATTTTTAAACGAAACCTTTTCAACTGCGACTTTCACCCATGTTTGAGGTGTATACAAAGTGCATGATCAAATCAATGAAAACTTTGTTTTTCCCAGAGCTGTCAACACAAATATTGATATCTTTAAATTAAAGCATGTTAGAATGACTGGTTTCCAAGATATAGGCCTTCAAAAATTGGAAAAAAAAGCCAAAATTTGTCATTAAGAGCTCAGAACCCTATTTTAACCTCTTCCAAATTAGTCAAAACTGCCTCCTCATTAGTGAAAATCACACAATCAATACAAATACATGCATAGACTTAGCTGAATTTTTTTCAGACCTCTCTGACCATAAGTAACTTTTCTGGACTCCTCTGAAGTAGGCTTCGGTGCAAAAAACGCCTCTTGGAAAAAAATTAGGGGAACTCTGGTACATCCTCGGGCAAAAAGCATCACAACAAGTGAATAAATTAAGCTACAGGGCTAAATCATACATCAAATTAAAGCTCAATGCAAGCTCTACGGGGCCAAATGAAAATTGTTTACTAAAACTCTCATAACACTCCATAATAGGGCCCTAATGCCCAAAAACCTGCCATTATTGAGTGAAAATTATAACGTCTGCCGACTAGAAAAAAATTCATATAAAATCAACACATTGTGCTACAAGGTTGCATTATATATCAAATTAAAGCTCTTTTCAGGCTCTGTACAGTGAATTAGTTTATAGAAAGAAAAAAAACTTCAAATCATTTCTGCTCAGATATGGACAATAATGTGAAAAAAGTCATCAATATTGGTTCAGAAAATTAAGATTTCTGCTCAGGGGGTTTAAAAATTGGAATTAAATTAACATACTGTTCTACCGTGGTTCATCTTGTATAATATAGATCTAGTTCTAGATTTATTTATCATTTTAGCTGAGAAAGCAACCAGTGGCTGGGGAAATACAACAATGTATCATCGTGTGTCCAGTAAGTGGATGGAAGAAAGAGGGGGGGGGGGTTTCTCCAATTAGCCTATCAGGTGACATCTAGGTCTAACTAAGTCTAAGAATACGTAAAAAGGCTGGTTGATTCAATAATTGAATATCCACCGATCAAGAACGTAGATCTAGCCTTTTTTGTTACCGAATTAAATGCCAAACAATATAGATCTACGAACATTACCATCGGTGACACTAACACCCGGTAACCCCCTTCCGAGTATTTAGTAGTGTGTGATGACATGTTACTATAAATAGAACTCCCGGTTCAACTCTTCACGGCTTTATTTTTTCACTTTGTCGACCAGAGATGCTTAGATTTCGATGCATTTAGAATAAATAAGATGTTCTTAGTTGAAAAGACAGCAAAAATACCACCACAAAGCGATACATTTGTATAGATCGCAATTAATTCACTATGAGGTGTGGAAAATGTAGGTCGGCGTGATTCCCACCAAACAATAACAATCCAACCACACGGCAAGTGGTGGCCGATTAGTCTTATTTTTCAAAACACGATATTCATAAGTATCCTAAAAGAAAATTATGATAATACTTACATAAATTGACGTCATAAACAGATCTATCGAATGTTTCTTTTACTGAACCATCATTATAATCGTCTGCTGGTTGGGTCAAGTCAGAGGGGGCGGAAATGGGCGATGGAACAGCCGCAATGGCAGAATGACGATCTCCCGAAAGTGGTTTGTACCCCACTTCAGAAAAAGTAATATTTCTACTTCGTGGAACGTAGTTGGCTTTTCTAAACACATAAACTTGATGGTAGAGATGTCTGGGAATATGATCCTGGCACGGATAGCCCGATTTGTGTCGAATTTCATATTTTAAAATGCTTTCTTCGTCTTTAAATCGTACCACCCAAGCTTTCCGCTCAGAATAAAAACATAAACACATTCCCCGGAAATTCTCCTGAAATCCCAGATTTTTATGTTTCAAACCGCAAGAAAATTCGATGATTCACGACTGAGAAATCGAAATTTAAAACAGGCCCCCCCCCCCCCCCCCCCCCCCCCCCAAATCTAAGCACGCAAAATTGCGAGACGGCCGAGTTTTCCCGTGTTAAACTTTAGTCAATTAAAAACTAAATATGGAATCATAAGTATCAGTTTCTCGTTCACCATGGAGAAGGAAAGACACAGAAAACAGTGGTATAATTTTTATTAGTGTTTACAAAAATTAAAACCAGCTAATAGTTGGATGAAGTTGTCCAAATCTGGCTCCAGCTGTAGCTGTCTGCCTTGAAAACGGCTCGCCTGCGGTACCTACTACCACAGACATCGTTATATTACAGACAGCCTTTCAACACTAGAGACACTTGAGAGTGGGACTGATGTGAACAAAGATATATATATTGCATTTGATTTGGAGTCTACATAACTTGATAAGTAGGCACCACGTCAGGGTTGTCCTACAATGGATTCCTGCCCACACTGGGATACCGGGAAATGAAAGAGCTGATATATGCTCTGGCAAAGAAAGGAGCTAGTCTCCCTCAGCCTGAAATTCCTACGAATTACACCACCTGCTGCCAAATGATCAAGTCAAACCTCACGGAAGAGTGGCCACATGAATGATCCACTGGTCAAAGATCCGATCAATGAGATGATGTATGGGACATGAATCCATAAAGATCCAATCAATGAGTTGAGGAGGGGAGATCAATCCATAATCTTCCAACTTAGAACACAACAGTCTGCTGCCTGCCCACTATGTGACTACCCCTCAGAGACAGTGGAACATCATCTGTTTTTCTGTAGAAAACTAACTGATTTAAGGGGATGTTTTCTTCCCAAGCTACCCCACACATCTAATTGCCTCTACTCCTCAAGACAACAGTTAGAACAAACATGCAACTATTACCGAATGGCATCATGCAGAAGAGTTAACGCTCAGATGCTACATTGGATCGCTAACAACAACAACAATAACAACTATTCAGAAGGCCTTTTTTTTAGGGTCAGTCTAGCCATCATATTAACCCTCATCCTGCGGGAGCTGGGTTTATGTAGCCCGATAAGTCTATTTCGGCACCTCGCCTGCGTTCTGGTCCCGAGTCAGTGTAGCTCCTGGCTCAGCGCACGCGCAGCGCGCATTCTCTTACGTGTCATTCGGGTCGCAAGCCGGATCCCCATTCACGCAGGTCAAGTGTGTGTGCGCCAGTCTGCTTGAGTTCGTGTGCGTTTGTGGCCTTCTTCTAGAACCACCTGCGTTGGTTCGTAATCGAGGCTTACGTCTCATTCAAAACATGCCAAGTTGATAGCTCTAGATGTTCGTCCAATGAAATTATAGAAGAAATTGACCCACTTAGACATGAGGAGCTCGAAAGGATAGTCAGGAAACAAGACTTCCATTTTTCTATACAAAACATTTCAAATGAGCTTGATTTTGCATGAAATGATACTACCTGATAAAAAATGAGCTTGTTTGATAGTTTTAAAAATACCATTGTGCAGGTACAAAGAACAATTTGAGTGTAAAACATTCGGAAATTGACCTAAATTATCCCTTTTCGAACCTCAGGTCATTCATAACAATAAGAGCGTCCAGAAAGGTTATTCAAATGGGCGTAACTACTCGTAATGTCTTATCAGCTTGTGAGAGGGGGTTATTCATGTGTTTGTAACACTTTATAAAAAGAAAGCTATGAAGGATAGAGCGTTATTTTCATCATCAGTTAACACACTCCCGCGGTATTCATGGCGAAAACACACGTTTCCCGGCGCGCGCGCGCTGTACACCAACAGTACACACTGAGTGACTCCGGCGGCCTGCCCGGCACGTCCGACGAAATCGGTTGCTGATAAGGTTGCTGATAAGATGCGCATCTGGGCACAGGCACAGGATAAGAGTTAAGAATAGGTACGGATAGCCCAGCTGTCTAGGCTAGCCTAGCAGTCTAGACGTCATTAAGTATGGCTAGCCTCTTCATTCATAAAAAATACATTGCCCCTCCGCTCGTCACACGCGCCGTCACCGAGTGCACACCCTGCCCACACCCATCCCCAGTAGACAGACCGACAGCCCTCAGCCCCCACCCCCTTTCAATCTCGCAGCATCTCAATTCTCAATGGCTGAACGACAGACTAGCCTCTAACACTAGACTTATAAAATTTGTTATAAAATAACCTGTCACCTTAGGCTTAGAGACTCCCGTTATTCATAGCATCATCAATGACCTATTAACTGAGTTTAAAACCCTTAAGATTCTGGTCCCAGATTTAGCCCGATAAGCGCAATCCCGCGCGGCGCTCCACAACTGGTCCCTGATCAGTCGTCGTCCTGCGCGGGCAACGCATTTCGTTTAGTGCGGGGTCTGCATCTGTGTGCTAAAATTAGACCTGCATGTTTGCCGACAATCGCGACCCGACCCGCGAGCCGGCCGATGCTATCGCTAGGCCCACCTGTATCAGTCAATGTGCGTAGTGCGAGGCCTGGCCGACTGCCAGCGCCCCCTTTTTCTCCCGTCGGCTTTGTCGGCACTTTCGTTTTCGTGTCGGCGTTTCCGACATAATTGTCGGAACCTGAGTAGAAATGCGAATACAAAAAAGGATGACGACGGCCTAAATTATCTACTTTCAGTTTCGTGCTCGAGCGGCCATTTTGAATTTCGTTTGTTGACTTTAATTCAGTTGTTCAGATCGTGTGGATTCATTCAAGTCCGACTCACTTACAAAATAGAATCTAGATCTAGATCTAGATTTATAGATCATTATAGACCTCAATGGAGGATTCATATTCCAATTCTATTGTGTCAAACCCTATCATAGGTTGTGCTGTAATATATTAATGTTGGTTAAAAGCATTTCATCAGGTGCGTGAATTATAAATTTAGAATCTAGATCTAGAGATATCTAGGCCTAGACTCTAGACTCAGCTGAGTCCCTCTGTTCAGAAGCGGATGCGGATTTCTTGTTCAAGAAGGCCTAGGCCATTCCTATTATTCACTTCTTGTTCTACAAGTTAGATTATTAGATATCTATATATATGGAGGAATCATATTCCAATTCTATTGTGTTACTGTATCAAACCCTTTTTATCAATGTAGATGTAGGCCATATTATGCTTCTTGTTTGTTTTGGGGTGGGGTTTTTTTTTTTTTTTTCATTTTGGACTTGTGCTGGCCTTTTTACATTGAGGCCCGTTGCAGGTTCTTTTTTGGGGTATGCCTAGGGTTAGGGTTATGTCTCTTCTGTGTTTGTTGGGGTGGTCGCTCGTTACTTATGACACCCACAAAAGCTCTTATGGGGGGGGGGGGGTTGCGCAAAATTTTCAGACTATCTGGTTGAGGCTCACATGCAGGTCTACTGCAGAGAAGTGTAAAATCAATGAGGCTCAGAGAAGAACCGTACGACCCAATGGCTATAATTAATGACAAAACAGAAAACCCCATTAACGACAGCTCCAAAATTAAATCTAGATGGAGGGAATATTTCTCAGAACTCTTGAACACCACTCAAAAGCAAACAAACGAAGAATTCCAACCAAGTCACCCAGAGGAAGAAGAACCAACCATCCTGCCATCAGAGGTCAGACAAGCAGTTAAAACAAGCCCAAAAAACAGAAGCGCAGGAATAGATGAGCTCACCACGGAGACCATCCTAGCATGTGGAGAAACTGGAATAACTTGGCTTACAAAAATCTTCCAGGAGAAAGCATGGACAGAAAGAAAAGTTCCTGGCGACTGGCCAAAAACGTCCTTGCCGCCGCCGCTCCTCCCCCACCACCACCAATCTCTCTCTCACACACTACACATACGCGCGCGCCGCGCACCCGCACACTTAGGCGATCTCCAAAAATATATATGGCCTCTTTGAACATTAACAGACTACCACTAGATTCTAGATCTAGATTTACTCCGGTAGAAAAAGGGGGGGGGGGGTGGTGCAAGGGGGTTCACCCCCCAGCTCAAGTCACAAAAATAATAGGTAGATCTAGATCGCAACAGTTTTTAGTGCAAGGTGGTCTGCTAATCTTTAATTTTACCATATATAGATTTAGATCACTGAACAATGAAAACGTAACAGTAGCCTATGCTACAAAAGTCAAAGTAAAAATATATATCTAAGACACCCAACGTGCTACAAGATTTCTCAACCTTCAAAGTTTAAAGGCGCGAGTCCCACTCGCCGACATCACACGTGCCGCCAATCTTAGTGTTGTCATGTCTCCCAACTCAACGCATCGTGACTACGCTTATCTTCAGGTTATCATCTGCTAGGCCCAGTGTATATTATGACTTTTTGCCTAGCCTAGAAACCCTGTAATGTAAGCCAAAGTTTGTCATGTCAGATCAGGGGGAATAACTACATTGTGCTCCCTAAAAACCCGGAGAAAGAGGTCAACTAACGAAACATGCCAAGGTCTGAGGGCTAAACAAGTCTAAAACAAGGGAAACATCTCCCAAACGAGTTATGAAAGAGAGTCCGACCCGTTTGTGCAAACAGGTTTAGAAAGAGAGTCTGATCCTCTTCTGCAAATGGGTTATGAATCTCTTCAGCAAATGGGTTAGAACCATTTTTCACAAACGGATTAGGAAAAAGAGTCAGGAGCCTGAATCCGGATAACGATTCATTGAGAATAAACCGGTTATTCGGATAAATCATCCGGATTCTGCCCGCCACTACTATTCACTCATTCCTTCTGCCTATCTTCACAATGAAAGGGGAACCTGATTTTAAACATTGCCAGCAATGGAAAGATATGTTGGTGAAGAAATCAAACGAGACGAAATGTAGGTGAAAATGTTATGGGTTGTAGGCAATCTCTTCAAACAGGCTCTGAAATGCCATTTTCAACCCTCTAAAAGCACTAAATTTCAATTTCTTTGTGGGCTTCGCCCCCTGAACCCCCACCAGGACTCTGTCCCTGGACCCTGCTGGGGGCCCCCAGACCCCGAGCAGAATTTTCTTTACTTTTCAGCTTCAGCTGGTGGAAGCACTGTAAGTGGCGGATAAAAGTAAAGTAAAGTAAGATGAATTTCTGCCATCTGTTTTTGTCGTCTTCCGGGGTTACCCCCAAGACTCTTGGGTTTCCCTCACCAATAACTCTTAGTTGATCCCGTGCCTTATCCAATGATCGGTGATGTTCATAGGATGTCCTTGCCCTTGACCTATGTGTTTAATGGCTTTGAAAGTGTTAGTTCTTTTCACAGTGAATTAAATGTGGTATTACTGTTCATTGAAATGCTAATGCTTAAATGAAATATAATGGGTATAATTTTTCTAAATCCAGTGCATTTCTCAAATTAATTCACCGTAAACAGAGGAGGATGTCAATGGCAGTCACCTTGGAAAGGCCACCAGCAATAGCAATGAAATTTCTACTCTCTACATAATATCTCAGGATGTATGTCATGTGGAGATCATGTTTTATACAGTAGTTGTTCATTGGAAAGGAAAATGTCCCATGCGCACATGACATGCATTAATTACTTATTCTCTAGAAATTTTTTGTCAGCAGCTTTGTTGTAGTTTTAATGTTGCCGGTCATTAAGTTGGGTGTTACCAGCAGTTAGGAGCATTTAGCTTGTCTCTTGGGATTACTTACACGTGCTTCAGTGACCTATTTAGTTTCTTTAAGTAGTCTGAACAGCTCTCATCTATTTCTGTTCTCTGGGTTGAATTAATGGAATTTGCTCTTTTAATTTGTCTGTTATTTTTATATTAGGGCTGCCGACCATTACGAATTTGTCGGAATCATTACGATAGGATTTTTATTCAATTTTACGAAAATACGATTATAACACACCTGATTCCGATATTTTAAAAATTTGGTCTACCACAACTCACTGTCAAAATTCCCTGTGTATTTGAGAGAAAAACTACCAGACCTGGACAGTCTATGTCACTACGTCACATAGAGCTGTCAAATTTTAACTGTGTAATAACACCCTCTCGGCAGTGAGCCCTTGTAGTCACTCAGTGGTGCTCAAGGCTTTGCCCTTAGAAAAACGTTAGACTTTAGAAGTGTCAAAGCTAGGAGTAAGGCGAATGTTTTACTTGCTTGACTACAAGCCCTGTCCTTGACACCCCTAGGGTAAAACACAATCCATGGCCATATTATGAATGTTTGAGCTAGATTACTATATTATTTTTTTTGTTGATTAACATAAATGCTTGTGGGTGGGCAGTCCTGATATACCATCATGCATGTGCTTTTTATGTGTTCATACTGAATGTCCTGTTTTAAATGTCCAGATTATAACTCAAGACAACAAATAATTTATTTTTCAGTATTGAAAATGACCCCAGTGATGTGACTCAGAAGATGATTGAGCTGAAGGCCCAATTCCAGCGAGCCCGAGAGTGTGTTGATCGTCTTCCTGGTACTCAGCATAGTCAAGAAGAACAACTTCGATTGAAGACGATATTACAAGAGCAACTGATTTTGAAGACTGACCTGTTAGTAAATTACAAATCTGGAAACAATTTTGATCTCATGGGGAGAAGTAATGGTGAGATACCAAGTAACAGCTCTTGATGATAAAGAGTAGCACCAAAATCTGTTACTAAATCTGGGAGTGGATAGTTTTCTTTTCCACCTGGTTCATCTTCATGGCTCAACCTGTAAACTCTGGGATGGAGACTGCGAGTCATCCTATTTTCTCTCATGACCCAAAGGGCTGGACAGAGTTGGTACATTGTAATGTTGTAATTGACACAGACGACGGAATGCAACACACAGGATATGTCTACACTGTGGATCCTGTGTCTGAGTGCATGGTGCTGATTAGTTCTCGAAGTGGTGAACCGGTACCCTCGACTGAATTTTCAATGAAGATCATTCTGAGGTCATCTGTGGTTAAGATTAAAGTGTCACAGGAACCGGATGATGGAGTTAAGAAATGGTTTGGTTCTTTATTCCGTGCAGGTGTGGATGAAGTGCTGGGGGAGGATGAGCTTCAAGCTCGAAAGGAAAAGCTGAAGTTATGGTTGGAGAAAAATCGCTTTCCTGTATCAGTTTCAGGACACGATGAACAGTCGCTTTCCATTTCAGATGCTCTTGTTGTGCGCCCACCTTACACAGAACAAAGTTGCCTGAGCACTAATGAAATCATATTGTTACGTGTTCAGGGACTTATTAAAAATATGCCAGATAGCTTTTAAAGGTATGCTCTTCCTGCAGCCTGTTTGGAATCAGTTCTTTGATTTGTCAACTGTATTTTTCTATTATTTGTGCTTGAAATTTTTAGCCGATGGTAATGATGTGTACTGTAATGTGGAATGAATCAGAACAGACCTTGTATCTTTAGTTTAAGGTAGATGACTTACTGTGCTCTAGATTCGCCTGGAGACTAGGAAGTCTTTTCACTGACTGGGGCAAGTGCTACCTCTGGATGTATTCGCTGTGACCAAGTTGTCAACATAACTTAGTCTAAGATGTGGCAACAACAAAATTATTGATGGTGGTCATTAACAGACCAGCTACTGTCGTGTTGTAATGTCAATGACCAGCATGATGATTCTGTGGGTGCTTAAAATTTAACACTTTTCCTCCACAGGACAATATCGGTGACAGTGTAATCACAAACACGTTGTCGGAATGATCTCCTTTTAGACATGTATGTGCACTTGTTAAATTTATGATTTTCTTTCTGAATGGTTAGTGGGGCTTTATGAGCACAAAAATCAGTTTGTTTACAATTGGGGTGGGGTTTTTTTGGTTGATTTTTTTGCATGTCAGGTAGACCTAGCATTAAGTGCTGCTTTACACTGACACCATGATGTAGATTTGTGAATGAGTGCTAGATCTAATGGGGTTTTTTTTTTAGTGCTATTCTATTCCATTTTAGGTTTGGATACTTTTACTGAGATGAATAGTACTGATGTTGCCCATCTGCATCCTGGTACGTGGGGCCAAAGGTTATGCGCACTGGGTGGGTTGAAAGTGAATTGAAACAAGGTCTAGCAGTGTTCTGAAAAAATGTTCTCAAAATTAGCTAAGTTTTCAAAAACATGGAATTTTTAGACGAAAGACTCCATGCTCTATTCAGTTTTAACACCCTACCTTGAGTATTTCCTCTCTGCCAGATGTTCTACCATATGATGGCCTACATGTGTTTGTTTAGTGAAAGTTTAAGTGTAAGGGTTTAACGTCCCTCTCAATGCTTATTAGGTTAATTAAGTGGTGGGACCTCCAAATGTAATGTCCATCTCCTATACGACGCCGCCAAATGGACTGAGAGCCTTGATAACTCCATAAAATGACCTTAACCCCATAAAATGACCTGAGCTCAAGAACACCAAGCCTGAGATTCGAACCAAGGCCATCTACTTCATAGTGTAGCTTGATACCAACTGTGCCAACCGAGCACCATACAACATGATACTACATTTGTTTCTATTGGACTGTTTACTTATGAGGTGGATTGGGTGCTTATTGACTGTTTATTAAGCTAGTTTAATATGAGCTCTTTAAAGTTAAATGCATTTATGGTGGAAGGGGGGGGGGGGGGGCTGCTCCTCACAAGTTTCAGACTTAAACTTAATAGTGTTACAAAGGTAGCTCTTTAACATGCACACAGTACCTCCAACGTTTTTGTCTTTACACGTATTTGAGATGACTACTAGATACTCTATTCCACCCACTTGACCTAACCTAAATTCAAGGTTGTTGAAAAAATCTGAAACATTAAAAAAAAGCAAAAATTATCCGCCGTCCATGGCATTCGTGCTAGGTATACTGGTAGTCCCTACAGCATTAAACATTTGATGAGACTTGAGAGGCAAGCTCTTTACTTCAAGACTAATCAACTGACTCTAGTATTGTAGTAAAGGCTTTCATTAGTTTTAGTCAGAAGGCCTGTTCCTCTACACTTCTTTACAGTACAGTGGAGTCCACTAATAACGAGTCCGGAAAAAACGAGAAGTCTGCTATAAAATAATAAAAAACACTATTCTAAAACCCCGTTTTTTTCTCCTCTTTACCTTTGTAAACAAAATACTGCTATAGTGCTATCAGACACACTTGCGAATCGGTTATAGCGGAATATTGCTGCTTCTGTGCACATGGCATAGGCCAATTATACATAATGCAAGACCTTGCCAGGTGAGAAACTTGTTGCTGATCTTTCGAAACAAAGAATATTAGAGCCCATGTGTGTCAACAATGAAGGCCTGGGCAACTGAGTAGGGAGGGTGTGGCATGCGCAGACAAGCAGAACACATCGTATGATAGGCCAGTTTAGATTATCAAGGCCTACCATGCTTCTCACTTCTCCGATGCGGGGATGGAGAGGTCACAGCAATGTGATGGATGGAGCGAATGTGTGACGTGCGCAAGCAGACAGAATGCACCACGGGGTGGGGTGGGGGGGGGGACACAGCGGGCGAGTTAGCCCAGAGCCCTTTCTGGTCACCAACACCGAGCTGTCAGTCCACATCGCTAGATCTAGCGCTAGAGAAACATACCTGATTCGATTTTTGATCAAGTAAGACCTAGAGGTCATGTAGAAACAAAATCATCATCAGGGGAGATAGCAAAAGGAAAAACAGAACACCAAACTTATAGATTAGGCCTACTTTACAGTTTCCCTTGAATTTATTACTGGATCCCTTATAGCAAGAATCCTGCTATAACGGACATTTTGATTCGGTCCTCTCCCTCTCGTTATAACAGGATTCCACTGTACAACATACCTCCTTCCTTATACTTTAGTCCGTAGCCCAGTGGTTAGACTAATGGACTTGTAATCCAGAGATTGCATGGTCTGGGGTTCGAGCCTCAGCTCGGCCCGAGGGAAAGGCACTTAACACGAATTTCCCACCTGGCTCAGTCTTTTCGGAGATGGACGTTAAACCCAGAGTTGATAGGGTCGTCCTTACCATTTTCACCTTATGTAACTAACTGTTCTGTTTTTGTCTCTTTCCCTGTCATGCTATTTATCGTGTGTGTTTGGCGGGGGTTAATGTACTAAGTGGACTACAGTATGAGAATCAGTCCCAGTCTAATCGTGCATAGTTCATGATTTCTTCAAAAGTATTTTGACAATGGGAGCAATTCGTTCTCATGTTCATTTGGACCGAGGCATTTTTATGATATTGTTATGTGTAAACAAAAATGCATTGATCTACTTTTTTTGTCCGTTTTTATTGTTCAGTTTCAAGTTTGTTAATAAAATTTCATTGTTTCAAGACGTTTTACAAAAATGGGAATTTCATTGTTATATAAGTTATTATCAAATGCACAGCATGTTGAAAGTCTGGTAAGTCTTCTACTTTGTTTTCTCTCTTTTTTTTTGGGGGGGGGGGTAATTCTTCAGTCTTGTTCTTCTTTTGCAAGATCTCATGTGTTGACTTTTCTACACAACCTAAGCAATGGATATTAAGGGCTCCTTGGCAAAACCGCCTGCCGGAACCATACACTACACGTGTTCGGCTGCTGGCATCCTGCCTCCAACACAGACTGCCTGACAGTAGTAACAGGATGAATTATCACGTCCTTAACAATAATAACAACCTTTTCTGTTTTACAATTTTTTGTTTGGTTGCTTTACACTACTGCAATGTCTCGTCTGCGATAATCCTCCTACTTCTTCAACTTTTGTCATTATTTTCCAAAATTCTTTTGATGTTGACCAAAACTGAGTCAATAGAATGGGTGGTTGGCGGGCTATCAAACATCTATCGTCTTGATCTCTCCTCCTCCTTTTTTGTGTTTGTTACTCGCTTGTAACACCTCTAATCTTCTGGCACTCTTATGCAGTTGCGAGTGCCATAAAACCTCTACTAAAACTGTCTGAGTCAATAGTGCCTTAAAATTAAAAGTCCTCAAACAAACAAATTTTGATGTAATATTAATATACATTGATCTGGTTTTGTCTCAAAGCTCCTACATCTAAAGACCTATGCTCCAATATATAATGGGAGCATTGTGTCCCTCCCTTTTCAGACAACACAATACAAGTCTTTTCCAAAGATATTACACCATGTACATGATACATGACGAATTACACCCACCAGAGCTATTCTTCTTTATTTTTAAATTTATTTAACATTTAACCTGTTGTGATGGAGGATTAGTTTAGAATACACTATACAATGTGTTTGCCTGTGCTTGTTTTTTCATCAACTTTCAAACGCCGAGGGGTGTTTTGTTTCAAGGGAGTGTGCTTATTTAGGCCACGTATAGCCTAAATAAGGTAAGGGAGGGGGGTTTAGCTTATATAGGCCACACATGCTCAAACTACCGGGGGACATCCTTTTCAGGCAACTGAGTTCGTGCCACTTTCATAAAGGTGCACCTTTCTCATTTAGTACAGTTTTGTCTCAGTGTACAACTTAATCGTAATGAATATATTGTAAGAACAAAGCACGATACGCAAAATTTTGCTCAATCCCAATGGTTTGAATGAGGGCCAGATTTTTTCTTCATGGAGGGGAAAAATCTAGGCTACCATTTTGGCACACTTTGGTCAAGTGAAAAGGTCAAATCCTCCGAATGGACTTCCGGGTCAAATTTGGGGTAGGCTATAAAAAGTGTGTACACAACGTGGCTGAGTCAAAGTTACACTATCTTTACCTGGGTGGCACTCTCTCGTAGTGTCTCATAGTAGTACAGTCCATGCCGGCTTTAAGTTTAAGCACGGTCATCGGGGAAAAGCCGAAGCGTGCTTAAGTGCGAAGTAGACATAATCCAGAGATTTTCATGTTGAAAATTCCCCGTGCTATTTCCCTTTGTTTGTAAGTGAAAGTAGGCCTACAGCGGTCCCGCAAAAGTGTGCACTGTTATTAAGACACCCGACATGGTAGTTTTTGTTCGCTTGTTTGTTTTTGTTTTGTGGTCGAATGGGAAATGAAAACTTAATTTAGACGGCCAGTCACGATACAGCACACTAGGCCTACTGTAACACACTGCCTGTGTAATGAGGTCGACAAGTTGTCCATTTGGTGTTGCTCAGACTAGATATAATCTAGTATCATTTATTATAACCTCTTTTTTTGGTTTTTTTGTAGGTGTTTTACGGGGCTCCCAAATGCGTACGGTCATATGAGCGCACAGGACACATTAAAATTAAACATATTCAGCTGATAGGAAATTTTGAATTTTCCCCGGGTGGCGGCCGAAGCCTAGATCTACTCGTATCGATTTTGAACCACCAAGGGATCTTTAACGTTTGCAGCTTGCACACGGGACCTCCGAGATTTTTCACCCATGTCCGAGAAGGCAAGGTGTAGATCTTTCCTACCTTACGATCAGGGGTGTGGCTGAAACGCAGCAGTGGGAAGCAAAAAGGAGCCACTGAGTAGCAGTAGAAAGGCTGCAGAAAGATCAGGAGCCTAGAGCTCTCCCTGTAGGATTATAATGCGATTGTGCGGCCGCGGTCTTTTTGTGGTTTTTTGGCGTAATTGAAGTAATTCTGCAACATTTGCATAATTTTGGATTCCCCGCGTTTTTTCACGTTTTGTACTGGGGTTTTTTTTTCACAAAACAATTAACGCCTCACCATGTGAATAAAGGGAAATAATCGCCGTAATAAGTCTCATTTAAGTGACAAGTTGGTTATTTCCCTTGTTAGAAGATCTTGGTTATGGGTTGGGATTTTGTTCCTTGAGCACGCTCAATTTTGCAATGTGAATCCATCAAAAGTTGTTCTCATGTCTGCTGATGTTTCATGTTTGACAGGTGTCCCTGGTTTTAGTAATGTGCCAGCATCAGAGATCCAGATGTCCTTTTAAAAAAATAATTTTTTTTACATTTTTCTTTCCTCTAGATATCTAGATGTATGTAGATCTACAGCTAAAAATTACAGAGATTATATTTTTTGGTTGTTTTTTTTCTTACTGATGTGTATTGTTTTCTTTCCAAATACACAACAAATTAGTGATACTGATATGTTCTGTTTTAAATTTTTCTGTACATAAAACATGAAAATCATGAAAATTTGTGTTGAAAAAGTGCAAAACATGTCGCGAATGGTGTTATGGTAACTTGCGTAATTTGGCTTTTTTTTGCATAATTTGGCCATCTAACTTTGCATAATTCTACGGGGACAGGCCTAGAGGAAGGGGCAAAGGAGGTGAGCGAGTGAGGGCAGAAAGTGCAAGGAGGCCAAAGCAGACGACAGAACATTGCTAGAGGGCAGGAAAGGAGGTGAAAGGAGATGATTTTAGAGAAAAAGATTTCCGTTGCTATCCGGATTCGAACCCCGGACTTATAATTGATGAATGAAAGGCGAGCACCTTAACCTCTAGACCACGAGAGCCTTCGATACAACCTCTTTGGAGTGTGCACATAATTTTTATAATCAAAAACAGTCGAACCTGCCATGACAGCCACTTTCCATTCCCTCCCCCCTCCCCCTTGTGTATCTATCTTTCTATGTATAAGATTATATAAATTTCACTGTGTAAAACGAACACCTGTCCAACGTGGCCACGGCCACCATAATGTTAATAGATCAAGCGCCAAATGACAAAGGTTGTTTTGCGTCATAAAGTTTTTTTCTTTGGTGATTCTTCTAACCGAGTTTTCAATGATGATTTCAAATCTAAACGCTAAACTTTGGGCATTTTTTTTCTAAAAGTGAAAATTCAAGATGGCCGCCATAGAATTTCGAGTGAAAGATTTTTGTGAGGGGTATCATCCATGTAAAGACATAAAAATGTACAAACTTAATTAAACAGCATGCC